CTCAACCCGGCGGTGGCTCCTCAACCCGGCGGCGGCGGATCTCAGACAGCGGCGGCGATTTAGAAGGTGGGTACTGTGCGGCGCGACCAGCTGCTCGCGAAGCCCTACCCAGCGCCTGCGGCGGTTGGCGGGAGACCAAGGCTGCGCGACAGCGGCAGCGAGGCAACCCCAAGGCTGCGACTCTCTCCCCTGCTGCGCGACTCACTCCGGCGCGGCCCTCACACCGGCGACTGTTCAGATCCTAGCAGTGGCTATCACAGATCCGAACGAAACGGACGGACGCTCCTTCCTCCTCTCAGATGGCACACGGTTCTTACTCCAAGAACCCTGGTGACAGCTTCTCGTTATTCGTGTTCTCGTGTTGAACAACCAGGCTCCGATACCACTTGTTGGGGATTAAACACACAACACACACAAATAATCTGCGAGAAACGAGAGAAACAGAACACAAACGACACACAAGAATTTAACGTGGTTCGGTTTCCCTAATTCACGGCTGCAACGAGAGGATTTTCTTATTTCACTTGTGGTACTGATTACAAGTACAAGAATGCAATATATATAGGAAGAGTGCATCTAGGGTTTCGTAAAATGGGCCGGGCCAAAAGTCAAGCCCAAGCCTCCACAAACCCAACAAGAAGGTGGATAAGGCTTCGTTGTTGTTATATCATATAATCAATAAAAATCGATAAATAAACAAAAATTCTCATAATTTTTTAATAGTGAAAAGTGTAAATAATTGTGGAAGAGAGAGAAAGAGTAAAAAAACACGTTTCTTAAAATAACCATATTATAAACATTTAGTTCTGAAATATCATAGCATTATACTCCGCACTATTTATTTATCTATAAACTACAAATAGATCTATTTACAATCAAAATGGTACATCAAAAACCGTGAAAGTCAAATAGACAATCATATCTAAATTTTGATGGAGGGATACTAATAAGGGATATTTACGCAAATGAGACTTAAACATATCACTTTTTCCTAAATAGGACTAGTCTTATCTAGTCTAACGTTTAACAATGGAAAATTTTAAAATGCCCTGTCTTTGAGAAAAATGATCAATTGCACAAGTTAAGTAGAATAAGACATTATTAAAAACAATTTGAATAGTCATTGAAATAATCAGTCATTATCTAACATTTGTTGTTAATGACCATATTCGTAGAGTCATTCGTATAATCAGTCATTATCCACACTTGTTGCTAATGAGAGTATAATCAGTCATTATCCACACTTGTTGCTAATGAGAGCATATATGACAAATCATATGAAATTATGTGTCATTAAGGGAATAAAACATATTCAGCCCTATTCCGAGAAAAGCACTACCTTTTAGTCCTATATATATGAAGCAAATTTTTCTACTAATAACTATGAGCTACATATTCCGTTCTTTAAAAGTAAATGTGAGAACTGAGAAGTATATACTCGGGTATAAATTTAATTTTAGGATGTCGAAAATAAAAAATTTAGGACGTTGAAAATAAAAAAAGGCGACATTAATATTAGAACACGAGAGCACATGATCTAGTGGGTGCATGCAGACTTTATCCCTACTCAAAGAATATGAATGCTGCTTCCAAGAAGAAAAATAAAACAAGTGCTTCCTCTGTCCATGAATATTTGTCCACTTTTAACTTTTTTCGGTCAAAATTAGTAAATTTTGATCTCAAATTAAATAAAAATGATATAAGATATTGATACAAAAATAGTTTTATTAGATTTATTACATCAAATGTTTTCAAAATATTATTTTATCTAATTAATATACAATATATATCTTATTTAATTATATGTCAAAGGTTTATAATTATTGACCGGAAAAAATCAAAACTGGACAAATACTCAAGAACGGAGGTAACATAAAACTAGAAAAAAAAAATAACAAAAATAATAGAGTTAAAAAAAATACCCGGAGTACATGATTAGAAGTTGTTTAGAAAACAGAAAATGTTATGAACAACATATTCTTTTCTTTAGAAAGAAAATATGAAGAGTATAACTTGAATTTTGGGAAGGGGAGGGAATATACTAAGTCTCACAAAACTTTAGGAAAAGAAAAAAGCAACATAAAAGTATATATCATTATCCAAGAAATCCCAAGAGTACATTTGTTTTTTTTAAAAAATTTGGAGATTCTCTATATATCTATGTGTATGGATGTGTGTTTTCTTTGATACCAAATCTTGTTCTATATTATATAAACCCAACTAATAGAGCACACATTAAATCATATCCCCCACACATTCAGAAGAAAATCATCATATAGTTGAAGAGGAAAAGAAAAGAAAAAGTTCTGAAAATGCCACAAAAAGTGTATGAAGATTTTATACCTAAAAGTGAGGTTTTAGGAGAGACAGATGCCACTGCCCCTACAGTCATTAATATTTATTTGTCAGGTAATGAATTTCATCTTCTTCTTCTCTTTGGGGTGAACATAATGTTTGTGTGACCATTTTCTCATAGGCCAAAAAAATAAATAAATAAATAAATAAATAGAGTTTATCAATTCATGATGTTTGTATCTGCAGGTTTCAAGAAGGAAGAGTTAAAGGTTTCACTTGGTCAACCAGCCAAACCAACGAAATTGAGGATGACAGGAGAAAAGCCTATAGGGGGTGGTAAAAAATGGGTCAGGTTTATAAAAGAGTTCCCAATTTCACCAGATTGCGACACAGATAAGATTTCGGCGAAATTTGAAGGAGGCATTCTAAGTGTCACGCTGCCCAAAAAGACCGCTAGCGTGCAAGAACCCGATGAAACAAAGGAGAATAAAGAGAGTGGTCAAGGGCAGCAGGCAAAAGGACAAACAGACACTACTAATAGCTCCCAGCAAACCACAAAGGGTGTTGATCCTCTTGAACATAAACCTGATCATGCTCAAAAGCCAACCCATGGCTCTGATGATGATCAGGCTGTTCAAGAGACAAAAAACAAGAAAGCTGAAGAACCCGCAGCTCCCCAAGCAAAAGGAAAGGCTGGCATTTCAGAAGAGGAGCCGAAACTAGAAGAGTCAAAAGGGCAAGCCACTACTACCGAGGCAAGCGCAAAGATTGTTCCTCCAGAGCCCGAACGTGATCAAATGACAAGCGGTGGTGATGGAAACAAGAGAAGGGAAGAGGCAAGCTCTGAGGCTGGTCGAGGAGGGTCAACTTCTGACCCTCCTCCTCCAAAGCCTCGAGAGTCAAACAAGAAAGCTGAAGAGCAGGAAGGTGGCGAGCCCGCGAATCAACAAGTAAAAGGAGAGGCTGTTAGAGAAGAGGTGCTGAAACCAGAAGAGCCAACGAGCCATGCACAACAGGCAAAACAACCTAATGAAGTGAACGGTGCAAAGAGTGAAACTACTACCGATGACAACCAGAAAGAAGAAGGGGATGCCAAAAACGCAGTCAAGAGAAAGGGTTATGAGTGTACCTTTACCGAAACGAAGCTGAGGAAGCGCGTGAAAATGTTGAATTTGGCTCTGGTGGTTTTGGCTGGCATTGGCATTGGACTGTATGTTAAGAACATGATTAGGTCCTATGGCGGAGAGGCTGAAGAGTGAATATCCTGTTAGCCTTGGTTTGCTGAATCTAAGTCGTGGACAAATCGACTAACATATCCTGCGCAACTAGAATTGTGAATCACACAACTTACATGCGATTGATTTTATATTTATTGAATGTAATGTAATAACATGCATTTTAATAAAATAACAACATTAAGGTAATTAATTGCATGGATGGAATTGAAGCGCTTAAGGCATTTATTTCCCAACACTTAAAAATGATTGTGTCACTACAGATGAGAAACTTAAAAGAGTAGCTTCATTTTGAGAGCACACAATTCAATATTCTTAATTTTAAGTTTTTTTTTTAAACTCTTCATTAAAAGGGAAAAGGCGCATGGTATCAAATCCAAGCTGAGCTCGTGTTACCATTGCGAAATTACAAATAAAAATATATGATAAATTAATTCATTAAACAATTCAATATTTTATGTTGACTCTATAATTGTAAGTAAAAAAATTGAGAAAAAAAAATATATTTTATCGCATGAATTATGACACAACTTCAAATGTTTTGTGGTATTATTGACCTTGATAATAATAATAATAGTAATAATAATAATTGCAATAAAATAACATTAAAAAACACTCCTAAATAATTTTCTAAAGCAATTGTTGCAATAAACTTGAAGAAGTTAAAAGTAAGTGGAACTTCCTTCCAATTTTTTATTAACCTCTTCAGTCTCGATTAGATTAAAGCATGTTCTTTAGGACTGGAAAAAAAGAGGTGGATGTTGGAATAAACTGGGAGGAACATGAAGAAACTAGAAGGAAATGGAAGAAACTTAAAGAAAATGAAAAAACTGAAAAAACTTCAAAAAATTGGAAAACCTAAAAAAAATTTTAAAAAAAAATATGTTAGTGTATTTTTATATTATTCTCATTCTAATTCTTGTTGTTATAAATTATTATTATTGTTGTTATTATCATAATCATCCTGTTATCTTAATGAATGCCTTTAAGATATAAAAAAATATTGATATTTTTCATACACAAAATAACTACTTTCGCAAAAAAAATTATAATTTAAAGTTAGCATAAATATAAAAATGTTAAATTAAAAAGAGTTATTGTGGTTATGCACCTCAATTTATTTATGCAACATTTATTATAAAATAATGTATTTGTAATTATATTTTATATATTACAAGTTTTTGTTTTAAATATCAGACATGTCACATAACGTAATCAAACTTATTTTTCCGTTCATGATTGACATTTTATTTTCATTGTAACTCCTATTTTTGGAATAAAGACGTAGAACTTTTATTTTCGTGTATTTTTTTATATTTTACTTCTCTTTTAGTCTTTTTCTCTTAACCATTTGCATTCAAAATTCTTTATAAAAATTAGAAAAATGAAAAACAACATTAAATTTTTAAATAAATAAAAATGATAAAAAATTGAGTAATAAAAAGAGAGGTGAGGGGTCTTATATAAAGTTAAATCAATAAAACATTCTATGTAACTATTTTATCCATAATTTTTAATATAATTTAAAATATTGATGTTTTCTTATTTTATCATGTAGATTAATATACAAAAAAATTGTCTTATAAAAAGTTGAAGAAAAAAATAATAATGAGTGTGAATCGTAAAAATAGTGAGATGAAAATAATAATTTGTAAACTATAGTTATGAACATAATACTTGTAATAATAATAATAATCACATTAGAAATATATTGTTTTAGAGTAATTGGTTGGAGAGTAAAAAGAGTTTGAAGAAAATGAGAATAGTTGGAAGAAACTAGAAAGAACTAGAAGAAATTGGAAAAAACTAAAAGCTAAGAGTTTAAGTCGTAAAGAACATGCTCTAATAAAAAACTGGAAGGAGTTGGAAAAACTAAAAAGAGTTGAAAGAAACTAGAAATTGGAAAATATTGAAAATTAATTTTTTCAACCCAAAAAACACGCTCTAAAAGTACTCATTCCGTTCACCTTAACGTTAACTCGAATGTGAAGTATGAAGACTTATGACTAGATTCTTGATTAAGGCCTTGTTTGGGAAGAGCGTTTTCAATTAACGTTAGCAATTTAGATAAAATATTAACGGTGTAGATTAATTAAGAAAACGCTAACGCTAAAGGCTACCGTCGGATAGCCTTTTCAAAACGCTAACGCTAATTTCTAACGCTGATGCCAAACGGGGCGTAAGTATACTGCCGAATATGAAGTTAGAGTAATTAACTAGAAATTGACAAATGTAACCTAGATTAAAGACTTATTCTTTTTATCTTATTTTTAACCAGAATCTAGAGTCTAATAATTAGAGTTTGAAACCTGATAAAGTACTCCTTCCGTCCCTAAATAAAATTCCTCTTTCGTTTTTTCTTTGTCCCCAAATAAACTTCTATTTTTCCTTAAAAAACTCCTTTTACCTCTTACTTTTTCATACCCTACCTATCACATCATACTTTTTTACTAATAATCTACATATCACATTTTACTTTTACACATCACATCAAGGATATTTTTGGAAAGTCAATACAAAAATATCTCTCTCTTAAATCCTCAAAAAGTCAAAATTAAAAGGGAAGTTTATTTAGGGACGGAGGGAGTATATCTTATTATCCAAGAAATCCCAAGAGTACATTTGTGGATTGGAGATTCTCTATATATCCATGTGTTATATATGTGTGCTTTCTTTGATACCATTTCTTGTTGTGTGTGTATATATATAAACCCAACCAAGAGAGCTCTCATCCCACACATCCACAAGAACATCATCATATCATATAGAAGAAGAAGAAGAAAAGAAAAGAGTTTTGAAATGGCACAAAAAAATCATGAGGATTTGGAATTTATACCTCCAAGTGAGATTATAGGAGAGACAGGTGCTACTGCCCGTACAGTCATTAAAGTTTATTTGCCAGGTAATGAATATCATTCATCTTCTTCTCCTTGAAGGTGAATATACATACTTCTTCCGTCTCGAAATAATCGTCTTACTTTTATCTATCACATCAGGGGCAAAGTTGGAAAGTCAACCAAAATTACACTTTTCCTTATTTTTGTCCAAAGTCAAAATGGGAAGGTTTTAAAGGAAGGAGGGACTAGGGAGTACGTAGTTAATAGATGCAATAACCAAATATAAACTAAACAGTTGATAATCATAGGCCAAAAAAACAAAAAAAATAAATAAATAGAGTTAATCAAATTGACAATCTAAGATGAGGGTGCCTATATCTGCTGCTGCAGGTTTCAAGATTGGGGAATTGAAGGTTACGCATGTTCAAGGATGCGAACCACAACAAATAAGGATCGCGGGAAAAAGGCCTAGAGAAGGTAATATATGGATCTGGTTTACAACAGAGTTCCCCATCCCACCAGATTGCGACGCCGCGGGTGAGATCAAAGCTAGATTTGAAGGCGGCATTCTGAGCGTCACACTACCAAAAAAGACTGCCAGCGTGCAAAAGCCCGATGAAACGAAGGAGCCGAAAGAGAGTGGACAAGAACAACAGCCAAAAGGACAAACAGAAACTAGTAATAATCATGATCAAAAGCCAACCAATGGCTCTGTTCAAGACACGAACAACAAGAAAGCTGAAGAACCCGCGGCTCCCAAAGTGAAAGGAAAGGCTGGCATTTCAGAAGAGGAGCCGAAACTAGAAGAGTCAAGAGGACAAACCAGCACTACTTCCCAGGCAAGCGCAAAGGTTGTTGCTTATCCAGAGACAAGGGAAGAGGAGAGCTCTGAGGCTGTTCGAGGTGGGTCAACTTCTGACCCTCCTCCTCCAAAGCCTCGAGAGTCAAACAAGAAAGCTGAAGAGCAGGAAGGTGGCGAGCCCGCGAATCAGCAAGAAAAAGGAGAGGCTGTTACAAAAGAGGTGCCGAAACCAGAAGAGCCAACGAGCCATGCACAACAGGCAAAACAACCTAATGAAGTGAACGGTGCAAAGAGTGAAACTACTACCGATGACAACCAGAAAGAAGAAGGGGATGCCAAAAACGCAGTCAAGAGAAAGGGTTATGAGTGTACCTTCGCCGAAACGAAGTTGAGATAGCGCGTGAAAATGTTGAATTTGGCTCTGGTGGTTTTGGCTGGCATTGGCATTGGACTGTATGTTAAAAACATGGTTAGATCCTATGGTGGGGAGGCTGATGAGTGAATATCCTGCACAGCTAGAATTGTGAATAACACACAACTTACATGTGATTGATTGTATATTATTGAATGAAATATGACAAGGTGCATTCTATACATTAAAAGGGAAAAGGTGCATTCTATCAAATTCAAGCTGAACTCGTGTTACCATTGCGAAATTACAAATAAAAATATATAATATATTAATTCATTTAGCACTTCAATATTTTTCAACCCAAAATGTTCTAAAAGTGATCAACTTAAACTAGTTCTTTTCATCTTTATTAATCTGGAGTGGGAGTATAAAGACTTAAATTTTTTTATCTTATTTTAACTGGAATCTAGAGTCTAATAATTAGAGTTTGAAATCTGATAATAGGAAACTAGATTAAAAAAATCCATCCATATATCAAGTCACTACTCTTTACATCTTAAAGTTTATTAATAAAAATGGTGAAAAGTATGTAATTAATACTCCATATTTGTTTACAAAAGAGGAAATGTTGTGAGCAAAATATATTTTTTCCTTAAGGCTTGATGCCAAGTAGGCTCCAACAAAACTTTGAGAAAGGGAAAACCAACATGAACATAAAGGCATATCTATTTTCCAAGAAATACCAACAGTACATTTCTGAATTTGATTTAACTAAACAACAACAATAAACACATTATAATTCCGATGTTCTCGGGATCTTGGGATCAAAACGGGTGCAACCTTAGATTGTACTCCCCCGGCCCGTTCCACCAAAAAGTTCCATGTTTCTTTTTTTGTCATTCGTCTAAAAAAAGGTTCCGCTTTCTACTTTTAGAAACGCTTTCGTGGCTCAAATGACTTTTCTCTCCACCACTTTCAACTCCATATTTTCACCTTTTGTTAATAACATGTTGCACTCTTGATGCAACTGTAACATTTAAGACCCACAACTAAATAGAAATCAAGTAAAGTTCGATTCATGTGCCTGTGTTTTAAAGCACCTGTGTTTTACTCCCTCCGTCCCAAAAAGATTTACACCTTTCAAAAAAATTACGTCCCACAATCTCCTACCCATTTCTATTAAAAAACCATTTTTACCCACTTACTTTTTTAAACCCTACCTATCACATCATACCTTTTTCCTTATAATCTACCCATCACATCCTACTTTTACCCATCACATCAAGGGTATTTTTGGAAAGTCAACACAAAATTATCTCTCCCTTAATTTCCACTTTAGTCAAAATGTGTAAAACTTTTTGGGACGGAGGAAGTATTAAGTAAATCTCTATCGATCAATGGAATTGGCTCTAAAGCACCTGTGTTTTAAATAAATAAATATAGGTTATAAAATGTAGGAACATATAACTGATTTTCACATAATACTTTATTAATACGGAGTAGTATTTAATATAGTTTATGACATATTGACATAGCATAATTAACAGTGTAACTTAATATTATTATTATTTTGTTATATATATAATATTAATTATATTATCATGCATGGAATTTCCATCTTTATCCTATTTCCAGTCCCAAGCCTCCAGCCAGTCTTTAGGTTGAAATTTGAGGCAAAAAGAACAAAGAAAATTCCCTTATTCCATTACAAAATTTCATAGCATACAAAATAATGGAATTACTTTACATTGTATTCTTAATTTTAATAAAAAGCACACTGAAAGGAGTAGGAATCCATCTATTTGTGCACTTTTTCTTTCTTACGTTAAGGCTCGGTTTGGTACGCGGAATTCAAATTATGAAATTGGAATTGGGGGCAATAATTGCAATTCTGACATTTGGCAGCACAAAAATATGTAGATTTGGAATTGATAGTGTCAAAAATGAATTCAATTCCATCCAAATCAATTCCGTGGAATTTCAACTTCTAATTCAATTCCAATTCCGTCGATTCCGTGTATCAAACGAACCCTAAAAAGAGATTCCTACATCAATCTGAACAAATGTTTCCTTAGGTGAATAAAATAGCAGAATAAGGAACAAATGAAGGTGTGTACAAAAGCATAGATTTCAAGACAAGTATGCTCCCACAAAAGGAAAACCAGCATGAAGATAAAGTTATATGTACAATATTTCCCAAGAAATCCCAAGAGTGTATTTCTGAATTAGAGATTCTCTCTGTGTATGCAAATGGTTTCTTTGATATCATTTCTTCTTGTGTATATAAACCCAAAAGGGCTCATACTGAATCCCCGCACAGATAAACGCCTTCGGAAGAAAATTGCAGAAGAAGGCGAAGATCAAACAAGAAGGAGAAGAACTGAAATGGCATCAAATATGACCAAGACCAACACTCCCCCTCCACCCAGAGTTTATGTGGGTTTTAAGCCTAAAGTTGAGATTTCAGAAGATGGTACCGTCATGAAGATTCATTTTCCAGGTGATATCATTGATTCATTGGGGTGAAAATATGTGTATAATGTATGATGATTTACCAAACAAGTCTAGGCTTCGAAGAATGAGTTCATACGTACCGTTATGTGTTGAATCTTAGGCCAAAAAGGAAATAAAATAGAAACCATCAATTCATAATCTGATAACCTATGCTTGTTTGATGAGCAAACCTGTGTTTTTGCAGGTTTCAAGAAGGAACAACTACAAATTCAACATATTAAAACCACACCAGGCAAGCTGAGGATCACAGGAGAAAGGCATGCACACAGAGATAAATGGCTCAAGACTGAAGAAGAGTTCCTGATTTCACCGGATTGCGACACGGGTAAGATCAAAGCAGTGTTTCAAAGCGGCGGCATTCTAAGCGTCACACTGCCAAAAAAGACCGCTAGTGAAACAGAAAAACAACAGGAGGGAACTAGAGAGCAGAGAGAGAGTGGTCAAGAGCAGGCAAAAGGACAAACCAGCAGTACTTCCCAGGCAAGCAAAAAGGTTGCACCAGAATCTTCCAAGCCTCAAGAGACAAGGAAAGAGTCAAACAAGAAAGCTGAAGAACAGGAAAACAGCAAACCCATGGATCCCCAAGGAAAAGGAAAGGCTGTTTCGGAAGAGGTGCCGAAACCAGAAGAGCCAAAGAGCCATACACAACAAGCGAAACCTGCAGAACCGAAAGATGCAAAAAGTGTAACCGGAAGATCATCTGATGATGCTAAAAGCAGCAGTGCCATTAAAGAAGGATCAGCAAGCCAAATTACCAAAAACGCAACCAGTACAGAGGGTTATGAGTACGGTACCTTCGCTGAAATGAAGTCGAGGAGGTACGAAAAAACGATGAATTTGGTTCTGGTGGTTTTGGCTGTCATTGGCATTGGACTGTATGTTAAGAACATTTATGATTATTAGATCTGAAGCTGAAGAATGAATGTCATGTAAACACCTTCAGGAAAAATAATAACACATTGCAGCGCACAGCTAGAATTGTGAATAACACAATATTCATGTGATTGATTGTATACTATTGTTGAATGGAATAAAGAGCATATGAATAAGAGAAATTGCTAGATTGACAAACAAAATGGTCACAAACTTCACAAACTTACTATTTGTAAATTTCAATAAAAAAATTTAAATAGTTTAGAATAATTTTAAAATGAAAATTTAAACCATAAATGGTAAGTTTGTGAAGTTTGTGATCATTCTGTTTGTGAACGTAGCATTGCTCTGTGAATAAAATAACAACAATAATACAGTAATTGCATCGATGAAAGTTGAAGGCATTTATTTCATAGTCAAAAACTCAAAATAAAACATTCTACACGCTTATAACAAATACGGAGTACAATTTTCCAAATCCACAACATGTTCATAAAGCATAGTTTTATGCCAATTTCAAATCATATCAATCACAAACTACGTTTAAGTCAAATTACAGTTCAAATCAAATTTATAAACGAAATTTATGCCAAATCACGTCTCTTTTCAACAAATCAACTCATTCAGTGCTGTTTATACTGAACATGTTATCAAATTCCCTACTCTAAGAGATACCAACTTACTTTACTACCAATTTCCGCGCCTACAGTCATTTTGCAAAAAAATCTTTGATTCTTTGAATGTCAATTAACGTTGAAAAAATACTCTCAAAGTAGAAAATCATTTTAGAAACAGTTTAACCACATCCTTGGATATATCAAAATATACTACTAACAAAAATGTACTCCGTAATATTTTACTATAATTTGTTTTCATTGAAATACGTTTAACATACTCTGTATATCCTAATGTTCCAAAGCAACAACTTAAAGATATTCTGACCACGCTGAAGTGTATATTTGAACGACCAAACTTGTATTCTACCCGATCCGACTTTCAATAAGTTTTTTTTAAAAATGTATTTTTGATTTACATGTTTCGAATTTTTTAAAACTTATTGCATTTTTTTGAGTTTCATTTTTTTGTGGTTTAACCTTGTGTGTCACTCCTTGCGTTATTTTTCTTTGCAGTCCGTATACTATTAGTTGAACCTTCAAACTTTCTATTTAATTTTTTTAAAGGTCATTCAATCATAATTACTTTTGTTAATATCTTAATTTTATGTCGTCTTTAAAATTATAAAATTTAAAAGTATTTCAATTTTAAATTTTTTTCATGAATAATTCTATTAGTATTCAAACACTAATTTGGCCGTAACCGATCCGACCAAATCTTGAGTCGAATCCAAAATCAAATCCCAACCAGACCCCTATCGGGCGACCGGACCAAACCAGATTGCCATCCCTACTTCCGCTCCTCTCACGGCAAAACCCTCTCACCCTTACAAAACTTTGTCACCCACAATCCGATTTCTTTTCTTTTTCGATTTTACTGTAATTTGTCAAAAGGTATGTTTCTTCTTCCCTCTCCTATCTACTTTCATACTCTTCTTTTCACCAATTTTGGGATTTTATTTAAAAAAATTGGAACCTCAAATTGTCATATCAATCTTGCTTACCAGTTTTCTATTTGAATTTGAAGAGGTATGCCAATTTTGTTTTCCATTTGTTGAATTTTTTATTATAAATTTTTAAAATTATGATGAGATTCTTTTATCTTATCAAATTATTATCAGTTCTTCGTTTTTGTGAAATTAGTATCAAATTCTGTTTTAGTCCAGTATTATCAAATTATTATAAATTCGTGTTTTTTTCGCTATTTGGAATTAGATGCGGTCATCTGTAAAATTGTTGAATCTTTTTATTTTGTTTATAAAAAAAGTTGTTACATTTTTTATTCCTCCCAAGTGAAATTTACGATTTTTTAAAATCTTTTTGATTTTATAAAAGAAATGTTACAAAGTTGTTTTAAAGTCTGTATCTTTATTCCATACGAAGTTTTTTTTTCCATCACATTTTGATTTTGTTTTTCATTCATATAGATTTTTCTCCTGACATTATTTCTAAGCCTGTATCTTTATTTTTTGTTTTAAAGCTTCTTATTTGATGTATTAGACTAGAGTGCTTCCAACTTGGGTGCATACTATTTTTGCGGAAGTTCTCACATTAAAAATGTTTATTTTTAATTAAAAAAATTAATGTTTATCTAAGTATTAAAGAATTGCTTATTTTGCTGATTAGGTCCACCATAGAAATTGTCATTAAACTAAAATCATATACCTGCATATTTGATTGAGTAGTTGCTCACCAAACAGCAATGAAAGAAATGGGAGAAATCAGAGGAGAGACAATGGAAGGAGGAGATAAGAAGGCAGAGGTGATTCTGGTGCGCACGTTGGGTGCGGATGAGCCGAAACACTATGACAAAGATGGCGTGTACGATTTCACCAGGTGGATCTGAGTGAAGGTAAAATAAAGAGCAACTGCTTTCCTTCAATGTTGAATCGTATCGGAGATGGTGCTATGGTGCGCTCGGACGGTGGTCCAGCGGTTTACCTTATAGGGGCGGTCTCACCCGCAGAGACCAAACATGTGAACCAATAGATGGAGCCAGTTCTGATGATGTGTACTACAAATGCGGCTGTCGGATGGACTTGCAGAAAGAAGAGGAAGGTGCTATGGTGTGGGAGCAGATTGATCTTCCTATCAAAAATTGCTATATTCCCTTTTGCGCATCGCTGTTCGGAAAGCTTTATGAGTTTGGATTTCGCTACCTCCACACTCCCGAGGTTTTTGATCCGAGTGTCGGATTTTGGAAGGAGTTGTCCCCGTTGCCTCCTGAGCTTGTCGGTTGCCGAGTTTCAGATGGAGGAGTTATCTCCGACCCTCAGAATTCCCGTTTTCTTGTGCACCTCTATGATGGCACCCTTTATGCTTTCTACCCTGGTTCTGGTGAGTGGGAGTGTATTGGGAGTCTGCTTCACTGGAGGCATCGTAATGTGGTTCTTGTGGACAATGGCTACACAAGTAATGCTGAGGTTGGTTGTTGAGAGCCATAGCGGTTCAGTAGTATCCCTTTTGAAGTGATTAAATTTAGTATTGGCCGGAAGAGAGTTGCACAAGTGTGATAGATCATGGAGGCGAGTAGGAACTACTAGAAAGTCCATACATGGTGAATAATGGCATGCTCCAACCTAATTGGTGAATTTACTTTGTTGACACAATTACATCTAAATGAGGATGATACCCTTTCCGGTTTTGACTTTTAAAAGATACAAGGATATTTATTTTGGTGTTGACCTTTCGAAAACATCAAAATGAGGA